AATAAGTTAAGAGCGTAGCATCAAGAGCGTGCTGGAAGTTCCAAGAATAAGTTAAGAGCGTAGCATCAAGAGCGTGCTGGAAGTTCCAAGAGCAAGTTAAGAGCGTAGCATCAAGATCGTGTTGGAAGTTCCAAGAATAAGTTAAGAGCGTAGCATCAAGAGCGTGCTGGAAGTTCCAAGAGCAAGTTAAGAGCGTAGCATCAAGAGCGTGCTGGAAGTTCCAAGAATAAGTTAAGAGCGTAGCATCAAGAGCGTGTTGGAAGTTCCAAGAGAAAGTTAAGAGCGTAGCATCAAGATCGTGCTGGAAGTTCCAAGAGAAAGTTAAGAGCGTAGCATCAAGAGCGTGTTGGAAGTTCCAAGAATAAGTTAAGAGCGTAGCATCAAGAGCGTGCTGGAAGTTCCAAGAGCAAGTTAAGAGCGTAGCATCAAGAGCGTGCTGGAAGTTCCAAGAGCAAGTTACGAGCGTAGCATCAAGATCGTGTTGGAAGTTCCAAGAGCAAGTTAAGAGCGTAGCATCAAGAGCGTGTTGGAAGTTCCAAGAGCAAGTAAAGAACGTAGCATCAAGAGCGTGTTGGAAGTTCCAAGAATAAGTTAAGAGCGTAGCATCAAGAGCGTGTTGGAAGTTCCAAGAATAAGTTAAGAGCGTAGCATCAAGAGCGTGCTGGAAGTTCCAAGAGCAAGTTATCAGCGTAGCATAAAGATCGTGTTGGAAGTTCCAAGAGCAAGTTAAGAGCGTAACACCAAGAGCATGCTGGAAGTGCCAAGATTAAGTTAAGAGCGTAGCATCAAGAGCGTGTTGGAAGTTCCAAGAGCTAGTTAAGAGCGTAGCATCAAGATCGTGTCGGAAGTTCCAAGAGCAAGTTAAGAGCGTAGCATCAAGAGCGTGCTGGAAGTTCCAAGAATAAGTTAAGAGCGTAGCATCAAGAGCGTGCTGGAAGTTCCAAGAATAAGTTAAGAGCGTAGCATCAAGAGCGTGCTGGAAGTTCCAAGAATAAGTTAAGAGCGTAGCATCAAGATCGTGCTGGAAGTTCCAAGAATAAGATCGTGTTGGAAGTTCCAAGAATAAGTTAAGAGCGTAGCATCAAGAGCGTGCTGGAAGTTCCAAGAGCAAGTTAAGAGCGTAGCATCAAGAGCGTGCTGGAAGTTCCAAGAGCAAGTTAAGAGCGTAGCATCAAGAGCGTGTTGGAAGTTCCAAGACTAAGTTAAGAGCGTAGCATCTAGATCGTGTTGGAAGTTCCAAGAATAAGTTAAGAGCGTAGCATCAAGATCGTGTTGGAAGTTCCAAGAATAGTTAAGAGCGTAGCATCAAGATCGTGTTGGAAGTTCCAAGAGCAAGTTAAGAGCGTAACATCAAGAGCGTGCTGGAAGTTCCAATAATAAGTTAGGAGCGTAGCATCAAGATCGTGTTGGAAGTTCCAAGAGCAAGTTAAGAGCGTAACATCAAGAGCGTGCTGGAAGTTCCAAGAGCAAGCTAAGAGCGTAGCATCAAGAGCGTGCTTGAAGTTCCAAGAATCCAAGAATAAGTTAAGAGAGCGTAGCATCAAGAGCGTGCTGGAAGTTCCAAGAATAAGTTAAGAGCGTAGCATCAAGAGCGTGTTGGAAGTTCCAAGAGCAAGCTAAGAGCGTAGCATCAAGAGCGTGCTAGAAGTTCCAAGAGCTAGTTAAGAGCGTAGCATCAAGAGCATGCTGGAAGTTCCAAGAGCAAGTTAAGAGCGTAGCATCAAGAGCGTGCTGGAAGTTCCAAGAATCCAAGAATAAGTTAAGAGCGTAGCATCAAGAGCGTGTTGGAAGTTCCAAGAGCTAGTTAAGAGCATAGCATCAAGAGTGCGTTGGAAGTTCCAAGAACGAGTGAAGAACGTAGCATCAAGAGCGTGCTGGAAGTTCCAAGAGCAAGTTAATAGCGCAGCATCCGAGGGTGTTGGAAGTTCCAAGAACATCCAAGAGCAAGTATATGATCGCAGGCGAATCAACGTTATTAGCCCACCCCACCCCACTCCGCTCCACCCCACCCCATACATGCACAACGCAGCCTCATTTGTGGGACGGTAATTAGTTTGGCTTATTGCAAAAACGCATGTTTCGTCCAGATCGTTATCAGCGGTCGCCAGCATAAACATCATGAAACATTCATACAAAATCATACAAATGGTACAAATCTAGACTCTCTTGCTAACTCTTGATGATAAACAAAAGGCATTTTGAAGCGATCCCCAACATGGATTTCAGTGACTACTGGATTGCAATCGATGCTGAACACTTGCGCAGGTGGCTGGGACGAGGCATGGTCGCAACACTGGCTGGAACTAGATGAACGATTAAAACACCATTGTTGATTACTTAATACAGGTTTATACTACCTAATTTTTTGAGGATTACGATAACTCATAGTAGGGAAACCTATCAACCAACTAGTATAACGAGATGGGATAGGGGCATTTTTAATGGCTCAGATGTTCTTACTGAGTACAAACGGAGGCATTTCTGAATCGGATTTCCAAAAAGTACTTCCACAAGTACCTGATCATTTTCCCTAAACAAAACGTCCCAAATCTGGCCTAATCTGGTCATCTGGAATAACTCATGTGCAAAACATCATCTGCAAAAATCATGTAAAACAGCATTGAAAGATCAGTAAAGATCAACACGCATCAAAACAAAAAAACACAAAAAACGATTCCCAGTTTGTTAACCTTAAAGATACCCTTGGATTTTTTTCCATCCTCGTTCCATTTGCGCCAGGGCTATGTGAAGCCCAAGGCCAAGCCTAAGGCGGCGCCCAAGGCGAACGTGGTGCCCGGCATGGCGCCGGCCAAGGCGACGAATGGAGGATTCAAGGGATATGTTCTGTCTATTTCTGTACATAAAGTTATAGACTTATAGCCTATATAGAATGACATAATCCATAATACATTGTATCGTATAATACATATATTTATAATATAATATAATATAATGTAATGTAATGTAATATAATATAATATAATTAAATATAGTATACAATAAATAATATTTTATATAATACATAATACATAATATATAATATATATTATATAATATATAATATTTAATATATAATATATAAAATATATTATGTAATATAATATATATATATAATATAATATTATATAATATATAATATATAATATATAATATATAATATATAATATATAATATATAATATATAATATATAATATAATATAATATAATATAATATAATATATATATAATATATATAATATATAATATATAATATATAATATATAATATATAATATAATATATATAATATGTATATATACACAGAGATATTATATTTATGTATGTATATATGTATATATGTTCTGTCCTTTTGACACACACACACACAGAGTTGATCTTTGTCGTATCTATAACACTGCAAAAAAATTGCCAGGCCAAGTCTTCAGCAAAAGCTTCTGCCAAGGCGCCTCAGAGCTGGGTGTTGGGCCTGGCAGGTTGGGGTTTCTGGCAGGTGAAGTCATAGGTCTTCCGGTCTTCCGATACATCCGCCAAAATGATGGAAAAAACACAGCTTTCAGAGGCGGAAACGATGTCAGCAACTTCCTAGATGATCCTGACTTCTAGTGGCAAACCTTTGGATGGACTTAGTTTGCTCCAGGCAGAAGCCAAGTCCAAAGCTGAAGCAAAGCCAAAGGCTGAACCGAAGGAACCTGGACAAGAAGCGAGGGTGGAAAGGAAGGGCCCAAAGTCCACGGTTTGAAAACAGGGGGATGCTGGGCCCGATATTAGAAGCATCGATGTTTTTTTTTCCGTCAACACGGTGAGAACTTCAAGACTGGGCAATATCAAAAGCTTGCACGAGTAAGAGGATTATTCAGGGCTGAAAACCTTCAGACAGATGGGTTTCTTTCGGTGATAACAACGTTAAACATGAAAATGAAGGTGATGCTGATGATGACGACCCCAGCTACAATGCAAAGAACAAACAACGGACCTGAAAGAAAACAAACAACTCTAAGTTTTGAACTGAGTCAGCAAATCCGCAGCAGATGCAGTGTTTCCGCGCAATTGATCGGGTCAACCAGCAACATGAGAACGATTGAGAACATCTTAGCGTTTCAAACAGACCCTTCCAAATGGGCATTGCCAAGGCTGCGGAGAAGTTTGAGCCTCCTGCACGGAAGGAAGAGGAGCCTGTGGAGCTTCCACCAGAGGTTGGGAACTCAGAAACAGGTGGAATATGATAGAACCAATGGAAGTTTGGTGTTGATATGCGCTGGTTTTTTTTTCTTCTCAAGCCTAATTTGCCGTGGGCCGCTGACCTGTTCTGTACAGTTTGGGGTCAGTTTGTGCCTTTGCTTTGTGTTAAGGCGTTGGTCCGTTGCGCTGCCGAAATACCAGTTTGTATTAGAAAACACATCTATATAATCAATGGAATTGCCATTTGCTCTACTTGGGCCAACTGTGAGTTTCAGAGTGTCTGAAAGTGGATAGTTGCTGCCATACTGAGGCGCCACAAGATGAGCGTCCCACGATCAGTTTGGTGGTGGTAGGGCACGTTGATGCAGGGCGGAGCCGGCAGCTTTACCCGCGGCCAATGACAGACTCAGCCTTGCTATTTCGAGAGTGCTTTACTTTCCGAGAAAGTCTCGTCACAGCCCATGTACAGAAAGTTCAAGTCAAACGGGGATCGGGAGTTGATCCTAATGAAGTCTTGCAGCCTTCTACTTGTAGCATTTTCTTCGATTTTTGATCTGACAGTATTTCGGCTCCACGCTACGAGGACTCACCATGCTCGCAATCAATCCATGGTGCCATGGTGCATGGTGCTAGCAATCTGCAAGCCAAAAGACTCACATCACAGATGCTGACCATTGCTGACCATCAACAATATCCAGGTAAAACATGGTAAAACCCTGAAAATCGATTGAATCTGATTGAATTTGCTTGAGTAACATCCATTAACAAATAGTAACAATATTCACATCCCTTCGTCACAGAGTTGAACATCACGGGTCGCCATGGACTGGCCACTGAGCGTAGCAGAGAAGCAGAGCCGAGCCTTTGACCTCTATCAGCGCGAGGCAGGTCTCGGGAAGCAACAGATGTAGGAAAAGACTTAGGAACTTCAGCCATTCTAGGAGGATCCGATTTGGAGATACCGTATGTACCGTTTTTTTCTTGTTGTATGATATTACTGTATGTGTATATATATATATAATTTATATATATATATATAATTTATATAATTATATATATATATATACATATATATTTCCCTCAGATCTCTGAACCCAGGAAAAAGCCATTGATCCCCAGGTTGTTTTCATGTTATGAGCGATGCCCAACTGGATCCCAACTGGCGGGGAGACGGCCCCTTCAGGTTGTGGCGGTTGAAGCGTCCTTGCAGGTGGCCAGTTTGTTTTCGTCCACATCCATCGGTGTGTGTGCGTGTGAATGTAGATGTATATACATGTATACACGTACTATTATAGTTATATAATTAATGTTAATTATATATATATACACATAATGTAGACATGTTGTGTAATACATATCTCTTTGGATTCTTTGCGGATAGACTTTTTGAAACTGCCAGGCTCGGAGGGATACTTATCGGATACCTCAACTTGTCTATATAAGTCGGTACTGATTCAGAAACTCACCAGCTTCAAGTCAGAACTTTGCAGATCTGTGGCACCATTGTGGTTTCCAGCTTGGTGTCAGGCCGCAGAACGCGAGCTAAGGAAGCTCAAGGATGTGTGAGTCTCAGGGTCGGCAACGGAACATGTTTTGAGGATATATGGTCCGACGTCGCGCTGAGGACCAAGGCAGGTCACAAAGCTTCAAGGCCCGACATCTGGTGGGGATCCCTGCGAAAACATGCAAAACTAAGGGGTAAAGCATTGGGTTACCCTCTGGTTATGTCAAAATAGCTATTGAAAATGACCATTTATAGTGGATTTTCCCATTAAAAATGGTGATTTTCCATAGTTATGTTAGTTTACCAGAGGGTAGGTCCAGTCAGATTTGGGTTCAGCTTGATGAAGTTGGGTCTTCGGGGCTGATTTGCAGAAATAGCTGATGGAGTGCGGTGCGAATATGAATCTTCAGAGATGTCTTGATTGTTCATCAACAGGCTTTGACAGGGATGGTTCGGGAATCTACTACGATGATTCTTTCTGGGACCCCTTAAGGAAATCTTGGTAATTGTGGGATTTAGCCAATCAAAAGGGGGATATCATGGGATTTAGTGGGATGAAATGGCTGATTTATCCACCATCAATGGGGTTCTATGAGATTTCATAGGATTTCACAGGATTTCACAGGGATATAATGGGGATGGGGAAATCCTGGGTAGTACCAGTGGTGGATATCATGTGTACCAAGAATTGGATAAATTACATTTCCCCAACTAACCAAGACCCTGCCAAATAGGCGGTTGGAAGCCAACCTTCCTATATATATATATACACTCATTAATTGGGGGATGTTCATCAATCCATCTTCATAGGGAGATAGCAATTGTGTTGGGATAATGGGACGACCCCATAGACGGTCGCAGCTGCGGCTGTCAGGATATTGGTTTAAGTTCTGGCAAGGCGGGGGGCCACCTGCTCTGCTGGGCGAGTTTTGCATCAAGTGTTGGAAATCCAGGTTCCCTTTCTGAGCGCTTGGCAGGCAGACTCTCACCGGAAGTATGTCGCCATGAAAGCAGAAGAGGCTCCGCAGTCGGTTGGGCCATGTTAGTGGATATACAAAGATGGTTATAGGCTATATAGGTGCTATCCCAACTTACGGGGTTTATTATATAGTGATACCCATAACTCCAACGTTGTCAGGAAAAGCCTGAGAGGAAAGCCACTTTCGATCACCAGGAGCGGTCCAAAGCCAGTGCGGAGCGAGTGGAAGAGTGGCGGAATAGCACCTGGTAACAGGAGTATTTTTGGGTTTTAGGGGTTCAACATCATTCAACATCACTTTTTTGGTGGAGAGTGTTACGTAACTATGGTTAAGAATTCACATATTTGATGTTTGGAACCCGGGTAAGAGAAAGAACAGCTATTGCCAATTGCCTTGTGTAGATTGAACTCCCTGCCAGAAGTTCTATTCAAGTACATTCAAAACATCTCAAAACATTTGGCTTTTGTCCCCTGGAAGATAGAGGACATCTCCTCCAAACTGGTCACAGGAAGCAAAACTTTGGACTCCACGGAGGAGATGGTCACGTGGCAGGAGTCCGGTGGACTCATAGTTGAACGTTGAAGCATTGGGTCTTGGGGAAACATCAGTGAAATACCAACATACCAGCTAATTATTTACATTCATTGATTATATTTGATCTTGACATATATAGTTCATCCGCACTATGTTGACACGGGCTTCGAGGATGACGAGCAACTGAGCATTCAACACTGGCATTTGTTGTGCAGGGGCTGCATAACTCCCGACCCAAAGAGGCCTGATCCAATCATCGCAGACAGTTTGCTCGCAGAAGTCGCACGATTTGAACGAGTGAATTGTTTCGAACATGTTTCAAAATGTTTCAACTATATTCAAATATTCGTTTGTCCAAAAACGGGGGATTGGACAAAATCATGATAATGGTGAAACAAGGACTGCAGTTAGCTTAATAGTTCGTGATCTAGTCAGACAAGTGCAGAAATATGGGTTTGGTTTCAATGGTAAACTCCCCAATACCTGCAGGTCTGCGCCCTTTGAAGAGTCAGAAGACTCCTGATCCTGAAGCATCTTGCAAGTTCATATTAGTGTATATGTATAATTATATATACATATACATATATATATATACATATATATTGTAGTATATATATATATGTTATAGTACACAGATATATATATATGTTATAGTACACAGATATATATATATAGCTTATATAACTATTGTGTATATGTATATAACTATAGTGTGTGTATAAATACATATATCTACATATACATAATTAATGTTCGGATGCCAGGGTACCATGGTTTTTGATCCATAGCCATATAGAACATCGACATATCGCGAGCTGGGACGCCGTTTGCGCAGGTCCCCGGTTGAGACCAGCGAGCATATCCGTGCCGTTTCTTCCGATCGAGGCTGGGAGGGTTGGAATTCGTGGATATTTTGGGCGTTTATTTGGCGGGTTATGTTTATTTGTGTGGTTCTTTTTTGGGTTATGTGTTGGTCAGGATTCGGCTATTTCTTGGTCTTTTAATTTGATTCTTTTGACATGTTTGGCTTTGAATCGTCCATTTTGGGGGTCAATACTCTTGAGCCACATCGACTTGGGACCAAAAATGCAGATCTTTCAATCTATGCGTTTCAACCAGCAGAGCGTGATGCAAGAAGAAGGGTGGACATCCAAAAGTAGAGCCTTGGATCATAGTTGAGCATCTTCGTTGTTTTGGAAAAAATAGGACAGACCGATCTTACAAGAGGACAAGCCAATCATACGATTTGATTATCAACCAGATTAGTTTGTTAGGCATACTGCAAGTACACCTGCATGCCCTTTGATTTATCCTTTGCCGGACGGATGTGTAGTGGATCAATTGGCCAAACATGGGAGGACAAGCCCCACTGCGGGAACGTCGAGTTCCATTGGTATCGCTTGAACAATTTCTGGGTGCCTTTGCTGCCAAGGGCAGGGGGGGACGATGAAAATCATATGGAAAGATATGGAAATGTCGAGGGGGTTGGCTCCAAAACTTGTGCAATCTTGTGTAAATCTAAGGGGTGCTACTATGCTCTTTTGCCTCAGACTGGGTGACCAAGCTGCTTTCTGTCAAAGATATCACTATGTGAAAACAATTTGCAACAAATGTGAAACGCATCAGAGGAGCCAAGATTAAATTGAAGCTTTCAGTTTTCAATACTTATATGATGCATTAGGGTCGCTAGCCGCAAGCCAAGGACAGCAGGTTCCAAGCTGCCCCTTTTCATTTTGAGTGGCTGGAAAGCTGATTAGCGGCGAATTAGTTTTCTTCAAGGCCGGTCACACTGTCCAGTTTTTCTGAGCTATTGCTTCAAAATGGTAATGTTTCAATTCACTATCACAGCACATCACAGCAGCCTCTCGTGTAGGTTTCAACGCCAGTGTTCAACGGCCACACAGCAAATTCGGAATGATATGATGCATGTTTAAGTTGCGCAGCACCTACGGGGAGTGGCATAAATTTTGCCACTTCCATGCAGAGGTTCCTCGCTGTTGCTCCCAGCAGTGCAAATGCTTCGACGGAAAGATTGTGAGTGTAGCAGATAGCCAATTCCACCTATTTGGGGTGCTATGCTACCCTAATAAGTGGGGTTATACTTAGGATTGTAGTTAAGACAAGATCAAAGCCAAGGTTTTCGGAGCCCGCAGTGTAAGAGTGACATTATCGCAAGAAGAGATAGGCCCTAGAGAGCTACGCAAACTGGACAAGCGACAGGAAAGCCGACTCGTGACAGTTGGTTCTGCCAGGAAAAGCACTTTGATGGGCCATTTGCTATGCCTTGTTGGACAAGTTTCGCCCGCCAGCCCGGCGTTTGCGAAGCTTTGGAACCATCAACCATCATCAAAGATCACCACACATTACCAGCCATCATCAAAAAGCATCCAGAATCATCAACCATCAAGAAACGAGGTCCAAACAGCTTCACAAGTTCGAGAAAGAGTCCAAAGAGATGGGCAAGGCGGGCATTCCATTCACATACCATTCAGGAACATTTCAATTAATACACCTTTAATTACATGGTTGGGATATCAATTATTATGGGATATTGATGGGATATTGATGGGATATTGATACACCTTTAATTATGTTGTTATTAATTTCCCATTCAATATACCGTTTGGAATCTCCCATTAACATCCCAGTAACTCAGCTTTGCAATCCAACATCCAGGGTTCCGTTCCGTTTGAAGGTAGCGTCCCATTGAATGTGTATACATATACATAATATTATATAATTATACGTATACACATATAAATATATATATATACGCATACATATTTGCATGATTTAATATCACAGTTTACATACAATTAGTACACCATTGAATATCCCATTACCAATTTAACATCCCAGTATCCCGGATCCATATCCCAGTGTATCACCATGATTTTCCAAGCCCTCGACAGGCATCCTTCTTCTATGCTTGGGTACTGGATGAGGGAGATGATGAACGCTCGCCATGGCCTGAGCGTCCGCAAGCGGAACTCGCTTGGAGAACTCTGGACGGTGCAACGAAGATATTAAGGGTGTGAGCAAAGACCATCATAAAAGGTGCACATCATATGGTGAGTTTATATATGCGTATATATATACATGAACAAAACCTCATCTATGTATATGATGCAATGAATACCCAAATTCATGTAGTGCGTAATATCTCAATGTAATATGTATTTGTCGATGCAATGCAAATGCACACATACATCTTCTGACCTTATGATATGTGCCACATATATGTATACACACGTTGATATATCTATATCTATGTCTATGTCTATATCTATATCTATGCATATGTACACGCACGCTGTATATTAATATGTGTTCAGGATATGTATATGTATACAGTGTACATACGCATTCGGGAGTATACCCCCCATCGTGACCATATTTATCCCCATCACCATCCGCAAAATGGCTTCAACCAGCCTAAGGCGAGGCGTCACCATTGACGTTTGCGTGAAGCATTTTAGTACCAAGTCCAGGCTTGGGAGCGATTCCAGACCCATGGGCCCATGGGCGTCAATTTTAGCTCAGCCTGTCCAGGCAGTTTACCATTTTGGACGCGCCTGGCCATCGCGACTTCGTTCCCAACATGGTGCATGGAGCAGTGCAAGCAGATGTTGCGATCTTGGTGGTTGACGTCAGCCATTTCGAGGCTAGTTCAGTGGATTTTCCCTCTGCAGGTGTTTCCTTTGCAGACCACCAGCTGCAGCTTTTGGTTGATTCGCAAACAAGTTGCAACTATGTTTGTGGTTGTGTTTGGATCCATCCAGACACGACCCAAAAGTTCGAACCCAAAAGTTGGAACACCCACTTTTCATGGGGCCTGCAAGTTTCAACCACAGCTGTGCTGAACATTGATGTGAACTCTTCGCACCAGGCCGGCTTTGACCGTGGAGGACAAACCAAGGAGCACCTGCAGCTGGCTGGGATGCCAAGATGTCCTCCTAGGGCCTGCTTTGGCATTTGGGTCAGACGTCAAACGGATTTTTGGAAATTAACCCTGAAAGCTTGGAAATGACCGCATCCGACACTCTGGAAGTGAGTGACCCTCTAAGATCCGTGCATTGGGCATCTCCAACGTGGTGGTCGCAGTGAACAAACTGGATACGTCTCTTCGGCAGCAAAAGGATGGTTGCTGCCGGTTGCTGCCGGTTGCTGCCGGTTGCTGTCTCAACCGGGGTCTACTGTGAACAGCCCTGAAGTGAACATTGATTCATATTCTTGAAGGCAATGAAGTTAAGGGGCTCCTGCTTAAACCTCCTCGGAGTCCTGGAAGTCATTTCACACATGACAGCATCCTTTGAGGTGCGGTTGGGATCAAAAGGCCGGACGCTTTCGGATGTTGCTGTCAAAACGCTTGGGATGCACAGAAGCTCATCAACATTTCATCAACATTTGGGGGTTTCAATACTAAACATGGTCATCCATGGCTTGGATGATTTGGGGTACCTATGGGTACCTCGATTTTAGGAAACCTCCACTTACCTTCAGTTCCAGTTTGTTTCAGTTCTTTTTCTCGTACTCCGACAGGTCTTTGAAGAGACCAAGCGAAGAGTCCACGACTACATGACGGGCCCGGAAGTCGGCTTCAAGCAGAGCAGCACATCCCTGAGTTTATCCACGTGAATCCACGAGCTGAGGAAGTTTCACCAAGATAGTGGATCATTATGGATCTATCTCTACATCTATGTCTATATACTTAATATTAATATAGGTTGTAATGGCCAATTTTCAGAGAAACAAATGATTACTATCAAATTGAGGGGTAGCCTTATTTCAGGCAAAACCATGTGGACATGGCTTTTCAATGCTTTTCATATGTTTTCATTGCACTTATTATAGTATGTGCCGAAGTCTTGATGCCTGCATGCTCCCACCACCACACAAGCTTCTGTGGCTGGTTTGACTACGGATCACCACAACATGTCGGCAAGCCCAAATTTGGTAACAATTGGGTAAAAACACGAGAACTCTTACCAACTACAAGAGCATATTTGTGGTCATGATATGGGTCACAATATGTCATAACCAGATAGTTCGCATTGGATTTTGAGGACACTTTGATGTTTTGATTCTTTCAACATGGCCACGTATATATATATATATATACATAATATATATATATATACATATATACTGTCCATTTCTGGTTCCCAGATGTTCCCAGGAAGATGGACGCCGTTGCCAAGGCGTGAACTTTGTGCCGCTCAGCGGATTCTCCGGCGCGGCCACCCAGATCCTGGGATTGCCCATAGGAATGTTCCGAGAGTCTCGGAGTTTCTGAGGATTTTCAGATGTTGTTCAGCTTTGTCTCAGATCAACCCTACTTGAAAGAAGTTCAACAGGAAAATATGTATAACAAATATAAAGTATCAAGAATGATTGCTATCATTTTTTTAATGAGACACTAAACAAACGACTTTGCAAACGGACGTCAGGCGAGAATATGCTGGAGAGGAAGGAGCCCAAGCTTTCGTGGTGGACGGGCCCAACGCTCGTTGAGGTGGCAAGCGGTTTACAAAGCAATCAGGGGTGCAGTGCATGACCCTCAGGAATTTCTGAAAAGTGGGAATAGTATGGAAATAGTGGGATACACTATTGCTAAGTTGAGAAATGTTGAGAATAACTGTAGAGAATAGTTGATAATCCCATCCAATTTCAAATATGTGTTTTATCCCCCATATGCACCATGGTTTCTGGTCACTGTCACCTGACCCAGCTGTTCCCAACTCTAAGGGGGGCCAGGCATTGGATCAGTTGCCACCGCCACCACGGCCCTCCAGCACTGCTCCGTTGAGGTTGGGGTCTGACTTTGAAGTGCTCAAAGTCATGTCTTGAAGATCAGACATGGATCAGATGGCATGTACAGTACTTGAAGTATGGAACATTAATGGTGTTCCATCAAATTCCATGTCTTTAGATTCACATTATGCTGTGATTTTGTTTTGTTTCCTATGAAAGGATCACACTTGTCCACCGGATTCCCAGCTGCAGGTTGTGCGTCTCCGATGTCTACCGATCTGGGGCGACTCTCGACGGAGATGTCTTGCTGCGGGGGCAGCAGACAATTGATCAACTTCACTTGATGATTTACCCTCTGGTAAACTAACATAGCTATTGAAAATTGCAATTTATAGTGGATTTACCCATTAAAAATGGTGATTTTCCATAGCTATGTTAAATTACCAGATGGTACGATGATTTACGACAGCGTTGATACTCGAGTTTACTGGTCGCATGTCAAGGAACACGTGCTTATCCGGAAAAGTGGTTTCTGGCACCATCAGCGTCGGACAGAAGGTCGACCTTGGCTTGGTTGAGAGCGCCCTGCTGACTCTGCCTGCCTGGGTGTAAGATGAAGGGTTACATCACAGGATCTAACACCCCCAGCCTTTGCCTGTGCCTTGAATTTTCAGCACTATCAGTCAGACTGCAAAGTACTGTAACTGTTTTTGATTTCGAGTGCAATGGAGGGCAGAGACGATTCTTTCTGGCCTGAACTACTCCTTGAAAGGTAGGAAGTATAATGAAGTGCACAGATACAGGCCTTTTGCCGTACATGAGGCATACATAGGAATCAGACAATCAGATAGTAGACTCTGATTTTGTCAAAGTCTGGCAATTCTGCAAATTCGTCAGACCTCCTTGGGTTCTGATCAAGCTTGCAGTCGATGTGTCTACTTGGCAGGTCTTGTTGCAGCCTTCCAACGAGCAGACTACGGCTGGAAGCCTAAGCCAGAGAAAACTCACCATACTCTTATATACTCTTGATGGGTGAAGGAATATGTCACAAGACTTCCCCGCAAAATCGCAACCGAGGTTCATTCGTTCATTTTCAGGTAACTCTTCGATACTGTTGGCTTTGGCATTTGAATCCATTGGCATGTCCTTCTAGAAAACGAGTCCGATGCTTCAGATTTCATTCGTTGTCAACGTCCCATTGTATACCTGATGTACCGCATCTAAATGACGTGGACCATTTGATCACCACAAGCCCAGAGGATCCATCCACATTGGCATCCATTTCCCTCGTGTTTTCCAAGGTGAAAAGCCTCCAACTGCGGGACGCAGCCACACGTCGGTAAACTCAGAAGGTGACGATCATGCTGGTGATGAGCCTTTGTCGCCGTCAAGAACATGGATGGTGACCAGTTGGAATGACATGGAGTGAAGATTTTATGATTTTCTGGTTTCAATGACAGAGCGACTTTTTTTGACATATATGTTAATCTAATCTGATGATTGACATTTATTGACTATAGCTAACTATTCATACGAATAGAACTGTTTGGCTTGGAAAATTTGGAAAGACTCGTCAGATCAGTGAGTTTTTGGGAATTGGTGAAACTTCATGAACTATCCCCGCCGTTGGTCTACCCCACAGTCTTGTTGGTTGCCATTTGACGAGTGACTGAGCCTCGGCCGCGGGCCTCGGCCGCGCGGCGTGGCCTCGGAGCCATGTCGGAGAGATTGGCGCAGAGCATTATCCGATGGGCAGATTCGCGGGAAGAAATGATCATCCGCGAGGTGGCACAGAGTTCCATGGATTATCTGGTGAAGTTCAAGTGGCGGAAACAAGGAGAAATGGAGAAACGATTTGTATTTTGCACATGAAATTGCAACCTGAAGAGTTGGATGTTGGCAGATGAACACCAACATTTGCATTTTGTAAGGGTGGTTTGGAATCAGGGGTGTAGAGTCCTGGGAACCATTTGCATAGGTCTTCATTCAAGCACTTCTTTGGCCAATTTCAGACCTAAAAATAAGCCGATAGAAACTAAAACAATCTAAAGAACTTCGGAACTTCTAAGCAAACTAAGAATTTCTAAAAAATCTAAAACGTTCCCTGCCTCCTTCCGGACTTCCATAGATTTCTATACATTTTGAGGGCTTGGTGAATTGCGCAAAGATGGCATGAAATGAAGACCACATTAAATGGGTTCTATGAAAAAGATGGGTGGGATTGGGACTGTCATCCGCGGGGTTCTACTCTTGGTCATCACACATCTTTGGAGTTCTGTAGACAAACATGGGGTACACACACTCACGCATACACACACACACTTCTGTGACTGGATGTGTTGTGTTCAAAACGAAACAAGAGTCATCTTCAAAACAAATAAGAGGGTGGACATGTTTCTAGCTGGCTGCTTGCCAGGTAAATCTAAAGCTGGTGCGACTGCATGCGTTTTGGGCAATTGTTTCCTGTCATGTCTGGACCAGGAGATGAGGATGAGTGTTACGTGAACAGTGGCAAGAAATTGATTGTCTGTGCGAATGACTTTGAGGTGAAGAGCGCAGGTGAGTTGAAAATCGTCGAAACTTCTCGCAGTGGCAATATGGGCGAATGGGTTAACTCGACACGAGTGCTGAATATCATGACGGCGTTGGGCTACACCTTTGTCACGCCACCCAAATGCCTTAATTCAGAATCCCACTTCTTCTTTGCACTTCGGATTCCCCGGAGTTTTGCATTATCTCATTTGGATGCCATGTGACATGTGACCTTCTGGTCGGTCACTCTTCTGGTTTGGTGAGCCCAAAGCCTGGCTTCGCCAACGGTGGAAATCGGCAGGATGTGGAATAACAGGATTGGGTTATTGAAGGCACTCCAAACCCAAACCTTATTCTGCACAGTCAATCATTCATGATGTGTCAAGATATTGATTATTATTGATTGGTAAGAGAAGGTCACCATCAAATTTCATCCCAGATATCATTGGTATTCATTGGTAAATATTCGTAACTATGGGGATGGGTCCATACCTATGGGACCAATCGAATTGGGGGGATGAGCATTTGCCCTCCAAATCTGCACTCATTTGGGCCAGCTATAGTGAGGTTTCATGGTTTTGACATGTTTTGACATGTTTGACCCACATAAAACTGGGGCTTCACCGAAAATAGGGGCCTTAAGTGCCTTAAGTTCAACATGAGACATCCGACACCTCCAAAAAAATCGGGTCAGCCGGCTGAGGTTCGGCCAAAGCAGGAGACCACCTGGACTCCGTGCTCGGCTCAGTATCCCCGTTCAGCAGTTTTTGTTGACGCCACAAATGTATGTTATGAATATATGTCTACGATTCGAATATATATATATGTATATATTTGTGTAACATATGTATGTATGTAATGTAATGTAATGTAATGGAATGGAATGGAATGGAATGGAATGTAATGTAATGTATGTATCTACATATATACATATATACATATATACATATACAGTATACATATATACATATATACATATATATATATATATACATATATATATATATACATATATACATATATGCATATATACATATATACATATATACATATATACATATATATATATAATAAACATATATTTTTAGATTCATATATACACATACATATTATATCATGTTACCTTGTGTAAATACTGTATATAATTTGCACATATACTGTACGGCACAGATCCCATCCAAGGTCCTGGTTCCAGTGGAGCCGCAGTTCGCCTCCATTGGTGGAGTCATCAGCGAAAGGACACCAGACACACAGAATTGGCCAAGTTGGGGCACCTGAAATGGCCAGTGGTTTGATCATGTTTGATCTATTTGAAAAGCCCTCTTTGGAGGCCCCAAACTGGGACGAGCTGCCAGGAGTCCTGTTCCCGTGTCCGATACCCTTCAGGCGCAAAATGGCGCAAAGTGTTGCGATGTGACATGGTTTCCAGCCCTCAAGAATCACATGAACCGCAGCATTAAAAAATAGTTGTAACCTGCCCATTGAACCAAGCCGTTGTGTGAAATGACCCACGCTATACCGATGGTTTGGGTGAGTCGGTGCCCCACTTTTGTGGCATGCACGTACCTATAGTCCCTACTATATGTAAATCAAATGGTATATCAATCCGTATCAACCCCCAGTTTCTATTACATGGGTATATGAAATTCTATGGGTATATAGACATATACATACAGCATCATATTTCAAGCCTCAACGCCCAGGTGCAGATCTTGGTCTTCGACACGGAGGTGCCTCTCATGCGAGGTGCGGGGATGAGGGATGCGAAACGACCTTTTTTTTTTCAGGAAGTCACCCCACGGGGGCCCCATTTTGCCACGTTTCTGGAAATGCAAAACGTAAGATGAGACATTTATGATATTTATGTGGATTGTTTTGCACGTCTTGCACAATCTCACAATGTTATTTAAGTTTTTTTTTTCATATACGACATTGACTTTATTATGTGTTTTCCGTATGTCAAGTCTCCTTTCCTTTTCAACTTGTCCAATTTTTTCTCTATTTTTCACTTTTCTATGTTTTACAGGTTAAACAACCCGAAATGCACAACAAGTAGACGCTTGTTTCTTGAGCCATAAGCACGATAGTAAACAAGGTGAAATGTATGTACATGAGGTGATACCTATGAAAAACACCCCCCGCCGCCCCGCAGTTTTAACGGAGGACGGAGAGGCTAACGAACTCGACCGCCAGAGGTGACCTGAGAGCGATCAGAGTTCATAAGACATCACTGTTTGTACATTCACCTATCGTGCAGTTGTGGTCTTAGCTCATTGGATGCATGAGGCAAAAGGCATCGAATGCAAGGTTGGATGTATTCATTTTTGGATCCAGGCATAGCACATGTCGGTAGAAGCAAAAGTGACATCGGCCTGGCTTCCGCCAAGGCATAGGAGCATTACCACTCCTCTTATCGCCCTGAAAACTTGGAAGCTACTGTATCAGGCCTATGTACACGGCTATATACACGAATGCTACACGGATCGGATGCTGGTGTCAATTTCTTTTGAAGCAATTGGGAAAAGGTTTACAAGTTAATCATGTTGGAATTTCAAGTTTTGGAAATGTGTGCACTTTGATTGAACTGAATGACCATGGGTCAGCTTTCATCCAATCGGCCAAACCTCCCGGTAGGCATAAAATCATGGCACAAGATGTGAGACATCTACCAAGATTCAAACTCTACCGTCCCATCATTGTAGGTGCGCTTGTAGTGCGGCTGGCCGTTGATCTCGCAGTACTCCTCGGCAATCACAACCGGTGCTCGAGGCACTTGTCGTGGAGGCTCTGCTGCGGTAGCTGATCCAGAGGCAGCTTGGGCAGAATCGCCAGCAGCTGGTGTTGTGTCAGGCATAGGCGTCGCTGTTGATGGTGGCCGCACTGGCTCCGGAGGAGCTGCCGAGGAGCTTGATGCTGAAGATCTTCCCCAAGGATCAGCAGTCCAACCTCGGCCAGAGTAGCCCTGATTCCAATTCCAGCTTTGCCATTGGGCCTGCCCTCCCGAGCGGCTTGAGTAAGATCCGTACGAACCCCATTGTTGCCCTCGGTTCCATCCACTGCGGCATTCAAAGGATTTGTGGCCATATTGACCGCACTTCCAGCACTCAATAGCCTGCTGAAAGATTGGTCGCTGTTGTTGACCATAGCCCTTGCCTTTGCCCTTGGCTGGCTTCTGAATCGGGTCAAAATGACGCCGGTATCCTTCTCGCCCTTCGCCAGTACCCGTCTTGGAGGACCTTGCCAATGGAAAATCAGCCACATCTGATGCAGTGGCTTCATCCACGAAGGAGTGTTCTTCGCCTTTGATGTTGTTGTATTGTTCCTTCCACTGCCTCTTCGCAAAATCGACGAGGTCAAAGAAACAATCTTGGGCTGACCCTTGATCCACAGGCATCATTGAGCCAGACCAACCAAACAACATCGGCGTGGGTTCCCCCCTCGCTTTCAGCAAGTCCGCAGCAAGAACAGCAAATTGTGGGAGTGTAAAAACTCGTGCATGATGTGCAACCATGGCTTCCTTTGTAACGTCCAACGGGAGTCGGATGTCTCTGTTGAAGTCTGGCATAAAAATCAAACGAGTGCTGACACCTGTTCCCAGTTGCTTTTCTCGCTTCTCTCGGGTACGGCCGACATCAGGGGCAATGCATTTTGCCAAGTCCTCCAAAAATTGGCAACAGTCGGGAGTGATCTGGCCGACCGCATTGTTGAACAAATAAAATGGGTCCTTCTCCATGCGGTCCTGGATCGACTTGAAGCCGAGCTTCGTGTATCTTCCCGCATGTGTCTGAGCAGCGTCCTTGAGATTTCCGAAATTGCTTCGTCCAGCTCGACGTTGATCTGCTCGGGTGCGGTCGGAGACTCGCTGAGCTCGAGGCTGCTTCTCAAAGTCGATTTTGTCCAGAGAAAATACCTTGTTGGTTTTCTTGGCCGAGATTTCCATCCGGCATACCTCTGTCGCAATTCTTCCATCCGACCAAGCAATCAGCCATTTGAAGCACGACTGACATTTGTGGGTGCCCTCAATGTTCTGTTCGCCGCAGAAGTGGCATCGGACCTGTTGCATCTCAATCTTTGAGCTGTAGATGTAATCCTCAGCATTTGTTGAGCGCTGGGCCTGCCCTCCCGGGCGGCTTCCTTTTCCCTTGCCTTTTCCCCGGCCCTTGCCTTTGCGAATGGTTTCGGCATTGGACAAGGCACCAAAGGAGGCCATCTTCAACGTCACTTTGTCCTCGAAGGGTCCTGAAGTTCCTTCACGTCGACGAAGAAGTGGGGGAAGCTCTTCTGGAGAGTCGGTCATCTGCATCTGGCCGGGTCGAATGGACTTGCCGCTCATGAGGTAGGCCTTCAAACTGTCCGTGGCGTTGGCATACGGGCTCTTGGACAAGGCTTCTTTCTTCGGAGTGTCCTGGTCCTTGTGGGTCTTCATTTTGCTATTGTACCCCACACGCGTGATCTCATAGGGGCGATTCACCCAGGCAAACTCCCTGTTGACAGCATCATATGTGCAAATGATGTTCTCGTTGGAGATCCAGTCAGGGCTTATGATTGCTTCGTCTGTGCGAAACAATCGGCAGCCGCTTTGGACGATGAGCTCGGTGTCAAAGGCAATGTAGTATTGCTTCCCGGCTCGCGTTCCCGCGAGCTTTCTGCCACCGACTGAATCATCCCATGGATGCGACGCAATAAAGAAATTATGCGCCCTTCCTGTTCTTTGGGGCCAGCCACCTGGGATGAGACCATGTTCAACTATCTTTTCCATAGCGAGCCTGTCGCAGCTATGGTAGATAACCCTTGGAAGTGCAGCCAACATCTCCGGCACGAGGTCTGGGCGAAGATTTGTCCTCGGCAACTTGGGTGTGTCGAGGTCAGCCTTGGTAAAGGTTGGATCCAAAGTGAACACTTCCTTCACCAGCGATGAAATTTTGGCATTTTCCACCACTGCACGGTTGTGTCCTTGGACAGCTCTGATGGCGACAACCTTCCATGGCAAACCCTTCCAGGTTGCATCAGGCAAATCGGGCTGAGCCACTTTCACCTGAAAGCGCCTGGTGTCACTGTTGCGCACGATGGACAGGACCTCACTGATCTTCGGGTAGGAGACGTAGTGGGCCATCGTCTTCATCACCGCCTCGAAATCCATCGAAAGATCCATGGGATCGATGTCTGGGCTGCGAGCACCATAGCTCAATGCGTGTCCTCGGAGAACATAAGATAACTTTGTGGAAAGAAATCTCAGTCGCCCTTGGCCGCAATACTCCTTGGGAATCCTGTTGATCATGTCATTGGGGTCCAACCATACTGATCCCTCTTGGCGTTCCGTCGCTTCTTCCAACTTGCGAAGGGCTGCATCGGCTTCGACACTGAGTCGCGGCGCTTTCTGTCTGGGCTGCGCTTTTGACTCTGGTGCCTTTTGCTTTTCACTCTTCGGCATTTTCTTTTCGGCCGGCTTTCCAACTGGCTTGTCAACCTCAACCTTCTTCTCGGTCTTGGTCAAGTCGACAATGGCAGTCTTGTCAGCAGGCTGTTCGGAAGAAGCAGAAGCCTCAGGAACTACAGCATCAGTCGGCACACCCTCCCGGGCAGCATCAGCACCTTCCTTCTTCTCGGAGTCAACGTCCATGGCAGTGGCTTCAGATCCACCAACCTCAGTCCAAGTTGAGATCCTTGAAGAAGTCATGTCGCTGGGCTTGGATGCTTCACCACCAACCACACTCCATGTTGAAATCCTCGATGAAGTCATGCCTTCCCCTCCTTGGTCAGTCTTTGCGGGTGCATCTTTTGCAGCAGCAGGGTCATCGGCCGACGTTCCCGAAGGCTTTGCCTCAGTGGATGTGATCTCGATGATCTTGTTGAGATCTGCAACCTCCTTGGCTCTTTCCTCCGAGATTTCATCTTCCTTGACCTTCTCGTCATGGGGATTGACAATGATCTTCTCATCCAGGATCACGTCCCACTCATCAAACTCGGGAACAACTTCAACATCATCTTCGACATCGGTGTTCTCCGGATTGATCTCGATCGACTCAATGGTTGTAGTTGAGAAACCATCAGCCACGGCCTGATTCAAATCTTCTTGAAGGTGTTGTCGGGCCCTGACTTCCTCGGTTTCGTAGTCCTCGATCGAAGGGTCAATTGGGACGATGGAGCTGATCTCTTCATCAGTGAAAGCAGTGGGCATCGGCCTCCCCTCCCGGGTGGCTTCCTCATTGGCTTCAAGAATTCCTGCATGGACCCACATGAGGATCTCCTCATCTGCCTCGTCAAAGACCTGGGCAGGGGTTGCCGTTTTCTTCTCAGTGGAGACGGCTTCCATGACTTCTTGAGTGCCGAGCAAAGCCAAACGAAACTGAACCATCGTGGGGAAGAGATGGACCGCGGCCACACGGTCTTGTTCGTTGCTGATGAACTCCTTCACAAAGTACTTGAGATCGTCCTTCTTCGACATGAGCTCAACGTATTTGAGGTGGAAGGTGATGGCTCCTCTCAAGAAACGATAAACCAATTTCCGGTTAAATTGGTGGTCGTGCAGGTGGTAGTTGTCGTATTTCCCACCCTGAGCGAGCACAGTGGAGTTCACACATTGAATGCCACGCTCTGCCAGCCAATTGATGTGCTTGCCCATCTCACGGTTGTAAGATGGCGGCAATGAGTACCCGGAATGGTCACCGTTCCCGATGACTTGCACAGACATGACACGGGGGTCCTTGGAAATCTCAACCAGTCCTTCCAGTGATCGCTGCACCTTC